TCTTTCCCCCGCATTTACTCTAAGCCTAAAGCTGGCTGAGTAGTGGGACCAAGTAATAGAGGTTTGCTCTCCTGCCTGCACATCGTCCATTATAACATGGAGTCTATTGAATGTGTCACCAAGTTATCTATGAGGCCAGTGTTCTCTGTTTAATAGAAGACTCCCCACTTTGGAAAGGCCTGTTCTTTTCTGTCCCTTAAGCTTGGCAAAGCTGCATGGGTCAGAGGGAAGCCCTGGTGCTCCGAAAGCCAGGACTGTCGGCTCACCTGGGTCCCTCAGCTCGAGGAAACCGATGCCTGTTTCCCTTGCATTTTACGCAGTGTGAAGGGGTGCTTAGACAGCGGTTCTCAATCTGTGGATCGCGACCTCTTTGGGGGTCGAATGACCCTTTCACAGGGGTCGCCTAAGACCATCGGAAAACACATATATAATTACGTATTGTTTTTGTGATTAATCACTATGCTTTAATTATGTTCAGTTTGTAACAATGAAATTGGGGGTCACCACAACATGAGCTGTATTAAAGGGTCGCGGCATTGGGAAGGTTGAGAACCACTGGCTTCGGCGGTGAGAATGGGCATCTGCCTTTGAGTCGAGGCGGTGTATTGTGTGGTTATTTTGTCTTTCGCCAAGGTAACCTCTTTCCATGAGACATGATCGGCAGGACTTCGCCAGCCTTCAGGAATGCACTTACTCAGTAACAGATCTGTGGTTTTTGTGGGTTCACCCCAGACAGGCGTACCTGAACCTGGGTGAAAGCTGGGCATTGTGAATGGCCCTCGGGGGCATTTCCCTTCTGGGATGGAGTTGGACCTCATACGCACAGACCTCCTCCTGCACACGGGCCGACACATATCACACATTTCCATCAAGATGCACACACGGTTTACTTCTAAAGGGATGACCAGATCATTGTGTAATTGGATGTGTAGAGGGAGGGGAGGGAGGGCTTACATCTCCCTCGCGCAGCATTCCTTTCTGAAATCTGAGGATGACTGGAAGGTGAAGCTCACTGAAGGACTAAAGAACCACATTGGCTCCATGGCTCACCTTGCCTTGGGGAACCTGGATCCCAGCTCTTTTCACAGGAAATGGAAGGGCTTTTGGATTGAAGGCGTGAGGAATCTGGTCGGGAAATACCTCCCCAGCTCAGATGGAGCAGCTGGTATTAGTTCCCTACCCAGGCAAGGCCTGTGGTCAGGATCTGCCAGGTTTATTGTGTGGCCATCTTTATGAGTAGCTGGGTGTCTGTGAGGGAGGGCTTAGGAGACTCTTGTCAAATTGCCTTCCAGAGTTTGACATTTAGCTGCCAGGAGTCAGCACTCAGAGGAATCCTGGCTACAAGAAATGCTTGTAAAATGTGAGATTTGGAGGCTGGCAGGGTCCAAAAACATTCCAGCAAGTATAAAAGGCCAGGCCACCTCCTGGGAAAATTGGGGGTAGTCCTGGGAGCTTTGGCTATGGATGGCCCCAAGTAACAGGAGGTGACACAGGCTGACGCTTACGGATTAGAAGTAGCTGGATCTCCAGAAGACCCAGCCCTTTGAGACAGAATGTTGGTGATTTTGGGGTTGCTATAATTCTTAGAGCCCCGGTTCCCAGATTGAGACCTGAAGGTTGAGGGGGTCAGCAAGGAACCTCGTTTTCCCAAGTCCCCGCAGAAGAGGGGCAGCTGTGGTTGGGGAGCTAGGCATGGAGACGGTCTTTGCTGTGTTTATACCGGTAAAGGTTGCTATTAGGAGGCCTTAGCTTAGGCTGAAAGCAAAGACGATGGTTTCTATGAAACAGGCTAACAGGAGTGAGGAGGGGATTGTCAGGGAGTGGAGACAGGAGATGGAAATTCATGTTTTAAATGTAGAGCTGGACCCGGAATTCGAAAAGTCAAGGAGACACCTCTGTGTGTTCTTTTCAACATGGTTAAAATTAGACTTGATTTCCAGACCTCCTCACCCTGGCAAATCAAAACACAAAGAAATTAGTTCCTTCCCCAGGACTTCCCCCATTTCATTAGGTACCCCATTTGTGTGGAGCCCAACATCTAGGAGTAATTATTTTTCTCACTTACTTTCCCCATCCATGATATACGTAAAATCCACCCATTACTTCTCTTCTGCTACTACCCTGTGAGCCTTCGTCAGTCCCACCTAGACCTCACCGAGGCCTCCTCAGTGGGCACCTTTTGTCCGTTCCTGCCACCGATGTACCATCTGTACCAAGTCAGAGTACAGGCGGCTTTTCCACCGGCCTCTGTTTACACCCTAGGGAACGGCCGACCCTGCTTGTGAAGGCCCTTGTCCATCCCTCTGGTCTTAGCTTTCACTGCTTTTGCTGGTTGTGCTTGCGTCAGATCTTGCCCGCTCTCGGCCCTACCTGAGCCCCGAGCACTAGCAATTCCCTCCCTGGAATACTCCTTCCCACTTCTCTCCTCCCTCCCCCAACCGCTAGTCTGATATTCAGACTTCAACTCAAGCATCAGCTTCTCACAGACTCCTCCCCGACCTCTCAGTGTGAACTAGCCATTTTGTCATCCACTGCCCTACCACTCTGCTTGGTTTTTGGGGAGGACTCATTCCTCTTCAATACCCGGCTTTGTTTGTTGATTGTTTGGTGGCTGGCCTGTCCCCCTCCCTGAGACTGTGCGCTTCGTGAGGAGGGCCTTACCTGTCCTGTTCACTGTACCCCCAGTGACCAGAGCAGTGCTGATTCGGAGGGAGGCAGTAAATCTGTGGCCTGAAGGACTGAACCTGCTGTACTCAGCCCAGCACTGGGAAGTTCACTGATGACCTCTGGTCGTGGAAGCATCGATGTGCATATACTGCTGGGCCTTCCTTCCTGCACCACTTCCCCGGGTCTGATGGCTGGTCTTCTGTTCCCTTGCAGCCGCCCATGCCAGCTTCCTTTCCCGTCAACAGTGCAGCAGCACAGCCCCATGTCCTCCCAGAACTCCTCGGTCAGCGGGCCTCTGCACTCCACCTCCTTGCCGCTGCCACTCCCAGTGACCCTGGCCGCCCCGCAGCCGCCGCCTGCCGCCTCCCCCAGCCAGCAGCTGGGTCCCGATGCCTTTGCGATTGTGGAGCGAGCCCAGCAGATGGTGGAGATACTAACAGAGGAGAACCGCGTGCTTCACCAGGAACTTCAGGGTTACTGTGACAACGCTGACAAGCTCCACAAGGTATGTGACTTCCGAGGGAAGGGGCCGGAGAAGGTTCTTTAAAAGGGACAGAATTCTTTATACACACACACATACACACACACACACATATATATATATACATACATACATATATATATGTATATAGAGGATATTTTTTCCATTGATTTTTTTAGACAGTGGAAGACAGAGAGAGAGACAGAGAGAGACATCAATGATGCGAATTATTAATAGGCTGCCTCCTGCATGCCCCCCACTGAGGATTGAGCCTGAAACCTGGCATGTGCCCTGATCCGGAATCGAACTATGACCTGGTTCATAGGTCGATGCTCAACCACTGAGGCACACTGGGTGGGCAGGACAGAATTCTTTACCTGCTCGTGGTGGTGGTGGGGGTGGGGGGGTTGATTCATTGACCCCTTGCCAGCAGTTAACTAGATCACCTTTTTATGCCAGGTACTGTGTAAGGCTCGAAGGAGACCAAACATAAATATGACATGGTGCCTGCCTACAGCGTACAGTCCAAAAGGGGAGAGTTGCCCAAGCTCATGCCTGCAGTGGCACTTCTGGGGCTCCTGTAGGTACAGCAGAGGTGGCCCTGGACCGGAGACTCAGCGGCTAAGGAGTATTTCCCCAGGTGGACAGTGTGGAAGAGTAGCCCAGGGAATGAGTTGAGAGAGACAGGTTTCCGTTAAATCGGGGACTCTCAGGAGCCCTGTGATCGCCATGCTAGTTTCCTTAGCTGGTCCCTGCGAAGGCTGCTAGCCCATTCTCGGTGTTGTCTCAGCACTGAGGGTCGAGGTCGAGTTACTGTGCCCTCTCCCCGTGCTTGTGACTTGTCAGGTGGGAAGATGCTGTGTCATTCCAGCCTGTGTAGTATCGTGGGAATATTAGAGTCTATGGCAGCCTTCAGCCTTTGGCTTGATGCTGAGAGCCTGAGTCGATAGGAAAACATCCATCAAGGTCAGCACTCGAAATGCTGCAGGTAGAACAGAAGACGTGAGGGGGGCAAAGGTCATGGATGTTTTAAGGCAGCAGAGCCACAGGGCACTGGAGTTTCCTCTCCGCAGGCAAGGAGGCGTGTGTGGTGGAAGGCATCTTGCCAGAGTCTAAGTCCCTGGCTCTGCCCTGGCCAATCAGGGGCCTTGGTAAAGAGAAAGGGAGGGATATAAACCTTCCCTACCACAGGATCTGGTCACGGGGTTCTGTGTGACAGGCAGTGCTCCTGGCTGGCCATTTGGTGTTTAGCACGGATCCCTCAGGGGAAGCCTGGGTCGCGTTGCTGGTCAGGGTGTCAGAGCACTCAGCTCCTCTGGGCGTTTGAGGCTGGTGTAGACAGCTGGGGGCAGTGGGTTTGGTGACAAAAGTGCACGGGCTGAATCTGCCCCAGCGCGTCTGTGCGGAGCTTCCACGGGAATGGTCTGGAGCAGTGGTCAGCAAACCGCAGCTCGCAAGCCACATGCGGCTCTTTGGCCCCTTGAGTGTGGCTCTTCCACAAAATACCACGTGCGGGCGCGCACGTACAGTGCGAAGTTGACTTAAAACTTGCAGTAAAGTTTACTAAGTTAATTTTAGGGAACGTTGTGGAGTGAAAGAAGATGTAGTGTCGAGGATTGAGAAAGGTATGTTGAGACGGTTTGGACATATAGAGAGGAAGAACAAAAGGAGACAGATGAACCAAGTATACAAGACGAGTGTGGATGGGAGAGTTGGAAGGGGTCGATCTCAGCAAACGTACCTCAATCGGATTGAGGACGTTTTTAGCAAAAGCCAGCTTAGGAGTACCCTAATTAAGTTAATAACAATGTACCTACCAATATAGTTTAAGTTTAAAAAATTTGTCTTTCAAAAGAAATTTCAATCATTGTTGTACTGTTGATATTTGGCTCTGTTGACTAATGAATTTGCCGACCACTGGTCTGGAGTCAAGACCAGGCTTGGCTTAGAGAGCTTTGGCTGCCTTTACTGGAGGGAAAATGAGAGCCAGAAACACGGGCTGCGAGAGTGCCGCCGCGCTCCAGGCACACCCGTAGGAGGCGGGAAACAGCCCGCCTGTCTCCGGCCTTGGCTGTGGCTGCTGCTCAGGCCCCAGCTTGCCTCTGACACCTCCCAGGGCACGGCATACAACCGGAAAGGACCAGCTCAGCACTTCTGCAAAATAAGCTGTTCTTTCTTCTCCCTAATGAGCTCTGTGGCACACACGTCCGGACGCTGTGCAGACCCACCTGAGGGCAGAGTTTGGTTCTGAGTCTTTTCACACGGGTGTAAAATTTTACTCAGTTTTATGGAGGGGGTAGAGATCGGGAGGTTTTGACATTCTCCATTGACTTGTTTATTAATATATACTTTATTGATGTGAAACATGCATTTCTTTCTTGATTTTGATGCACATTTCTATTTTTTAAATTTATTTTTTAGAGAGAGAGCGAGAAGAAGGGGTGGGTGTGGGGAGAGAAAGAAAGAAACAGAGAAACATCAGTTTTGTTGTGCTACTTATCTATGCATTCATTTGGTTGATCCTAATATGTGCCCTGACCGAGGATAGAATCCACAACCTTAGTGTATCTGGACAACGCTCTCACCAATTGAGCTACCTGGCTAGGGCTCACATTTCTATTTTGAAAAACAGAATTCATCTCCCAGTGACTTAATTCCCTGCACAGGGGATGATTCTTTATTATTATTATTATTATTATTATTATTAGTTAAAGTATTACAAATGTGTCCTCATCTTAAACAAGCCATTCTCAGTTTTGGGCCACCTCCCTGACTCCAGGGAAAGTGCAGGCTCCTCCTGAGGCCTGCTCTACATCTGTATCATGGCAAGATGGCAACACTAAACTCCCTTAGGTGACAGACCATTGGTGGGTTCCGTACATGCCTTTTGACCAGTGGTTCTCAACCTTCCTAATGCCTTGACCCTTTAATACAGTTCCTCATGTTGTGCTGACCCCCAATTTCATTGTTACAAATTGAACAGAATTAAAGCATAGTGATTAATCACAAAAACAATATGTAATTATATATGTGTTTTCCAATGGTCTTAGGTGACCTCTGTGAAAGGGTCGTTCAACCCCCAAAGGGGTCTTGACCCACAGGTTGAGAACCGCTGCTTCATTGGGACAGAAGGCTGTTGAATCAAGAACTTTTCTTACCACTTTCCAAAACAGAAGAATCATACCAATAATAAAACCAACTTGTTTTTAATAACTAGCACATCACTATTAATTTATGCAAAACACAGTAACAGCAGCATATTTGCCAAATTAGAAATGTATCTTCTCAAAGTGCCTACACCAAATCATCCAGGAGTGATATATTTTTATCACTTATGCTTTAGACTTTCTTCCATTTGTGATATGTTGACTGTGTGATTTTCTTCCTTTTTTCTTTTTTTTTTTAAACACAGAGGCTCAGTGAATGTTAGAAACATAATGAAAATC